GCAGGAATTAATAACTACACAGAAAGTATTTATATTGTGCCAATCCAGGCTGCCCCTCCCATATTAACTAGACTGTCTTGTAATTGCTTTTACATATACAAATGGAGCAACTAAAATGTCTTTAGACTGACTGGAACATCAGCATTTCAATGCATTTTAGAATAGACACATTAGTTTAGGAAAAATAAAAGAGAAAATGGCAAAAAATCCCCCAGAGATGCTTTGTATTGGGACATTTTCAATGAACAGAAGAAAAATCACAGAGTAATGTGGAAAACCAGCCTGTACTTGCTGAAACAAGTTTTTACGGCTCTAAAACAAGATTTTATGGATCCCTTTGCCAATCCAACTCTCGTATTTAGGCTGTAACAAATACCAGATGCATCTGAGCAAAACCAGTTCACCTCCGGTGTGGGAGAAGGTTTTGTAGTGAGGAACAACTGGGCTGGTTGTGTGCAGCAGTCACCTCATGCAGCTGCTGTCAGACACACCCCAAAGTAAACAGATTGCTACATTAATGGGCATTCTCCACTCTTCAGGCAGTTTCTGTAAAAGAGAAGGATGTGTGGAGACCTCAGAGCAGCCTTCCAGGATCTGAAGGGGCTACAGGGAAGCTGGAGAGGGACTCTTTGTTAGGAACTGCAGTGATAGGACAAGGAGTAATGGGGATAAATTGAATGAGGGGAAATTTAGATTAGCTATTAGGAAAAGTTGAGACCCTGGCACAGGTTGCCCGGGGAGGCTGTGGCTGCCCCAACCCTGGCAGTGTTCACAGCCGGGTTGGATAAAGCCTTGAGCAGCCTGGTGTGGTGGGAGGTGTCCCTGCCCAGGGCAGTGGGCTGGGACTAAATGATTTCTAGGGTCCATTCCAACTCCCTAACATACTATGATAAGTAGTGATAACTTACTATGATAACTTATCATACTATGATAACTTATCATACTGTGATAAGTTTTCATGTGCCTCACATTTAGATATCTGTGAATGGCACTTCCTTTGGTTAGCCTTTTGGAATTTTACACGTACCATTGTGTTTATTTGCAAGATCTAAATAAGTAGGGTTTTTTTTCTTCACCTCAGTAGTACTTTTGCTCTGAATCCCACTAAGAAAAGAGATTGTTTCCTTTTCCTTTAGACAAAGTTTACTGGACCTTGACAACAACACACCCCAAGCCCCAAAATAGCTGTACAAACCTACCAAAGACAATGGAATCAAACATTTTACAATTTACTTGACAATAAACCTTATCATCAGTGATAACATCCAACATGAAAAGAACTGAACCAGATTCTTAGATCACAGCTGGCAGAGAAATTTGGGACCTAATCAGAAACTATGGTGATGGTGGGATTTGCTATTCTTATGCTGATTTTTAGGGAGTCACTGTTTACATCAGGTTAACAGTTTGATCCTGTGCTGTAAGAACAATGCTGAAGTTTCCTTACTGCAGAACAAATGGCTAAACTAGAACCCAACTTTGGATGCGACCAAGAAACAGAGAAAATTTCCATTTCAGGAATTTTGGTCTGATGTTTACTTTAATACAGTATTCTGAAAGCCCCACTACTACCTGCTAACTCACCAGACATTTCCATGTAAAGGTGAATCTCTTGGCTACAGCATAGTATGAAATTACCTAAGATGGTTTTGACTAAGTATTGTATTATTTCTCCCTTTAGGAAGTGTGATCACAACAAATATTTCTGTCACTTAATGACACATCTTCATCTGAAACTAAAGGAACTGGTGACCAAGAGAAGCCTCATTTTGTGATAAATAGAAGTAAAATACAGTTTTGTTGCTCTCAGTTTGCAGCTCAGTAAGAATTCAGCATTGTTACACAGCGATTAAGAACGAAATACCTCCAAATAAAACAACTGTTCTAATTTAATAATGAAATGATCACCAAAGAATGTTGTTGATTTTCTGGCATAATTTTAAATCTTGCGTTTCCTGCAGGTGCAGCTGTTGTAAGGTTAATATGAAATGACTAATGAATTTCAATCAAACAAAGAATTAACAGCACCTCCTGCACAAAGACAGTTCCCTGAGGAAGTCTAGTTTTGAGTAATTTTGGAAAGACTCTTGGGGAGTTTGTGTCTGGCTCTTGAAAAGAATGAGATAAGCACATAGCTCCTGGCTGTGCAGTACACCTTAGGAAGGGACATTAGCTCCTTTCAGGTCTTTAAGGGAGGGGAAAAAACCCAACAACAACAACAAAAAAAAAAAACATAAGGGGGTGTCATAATATTTTACAACAGGATGCAGAGAATCTCCAAACACAGGAAGAGAGCAAGTAAAGCCCAGCAGGGCTGATCCTTCTCCTTCTGTCATCACAAACCCTTATCAATCAAAGGCTCCAGTGGCACCACAATACCAAGCCCACACTTTATGGCTTACATTTCCCTGCACTGCACAGTCATCTCTGTGCAGGACCCTTTTTGTTTCAAGATCAGAGCAGGGAACTCTGCTCTTCCCCTTAAAGTTCACTACCTCTAGCATCTTCTGGTCACCTGGAGCTGTGTGTGCTATTGTGCTACCTGCCACAAAGACTGTTTTTTGTTAAAAGCTTTGAAATGCTTGTTTTAAAAGAATTAATAACCCTGTAAAGCTGTAGCACATAGAATTTAAATTTAACCAGAATTTAAATTTAGGCCAAAGTCCAATCACATTAAGAGTTAATTTAATTCTGTATCAAGTGTAGTCAAATCTTTTCTTACAACACTCCATTGAAATGAAGGCCCTGTTGGAAAGCCTGGCTCAGGATTTATTAACAGTTGAGCTTGCATCCAGCAAGAGAAATATTAAGTCACTCCAGCTGAATTAGCCAGGCCCAGTGTCTGACCTACCTGGTATTTTCCTTTCCTTTATTATTTTATTGTCTATATTTATCCTCAAATATCCACATCCACCTCTCCCAGGAAAAGCATCAAACATCTCAATTAAACACTGCAGATGTAATTACAAGCACTGTAGTTCTAAGCTAATTTACAATAGCTAGCCAGGCTCCAGAACAACTGCAGCCAGGACAAAGGGGAGCTGGGTGAGCAAGGAGGGGCATTTCAGATTTCAAACCCCCCAAATTAGCAGAAAGTTTACTCCCCTCATTACATGAAGGGGCAAAGTGAGGGGCAGGAAGCCTAAGTAAATTACTAAGAGAACACAGTGTGGCATAAATCCCAAAAGTTTGTGCTTCTGGGAGAAATGTGTAGCTGGATGGTTTTCTCTATTTAGCATTTTTTATTGTGCATTGGATAGATTGTCATCCTGCATTTAAAAACTGTATCTTTTACATCTGTATTTATTAAAAACAATACCAGAGAGAACTCCATCAGCTCATCTGATGGTTCCTCCCTCACACTCCATCAGCAGCTGAGATATATTATTAATACCAATTCTCAGTGGGCAGCAAAGCCATTAATGTTACCCAGGCATTCAGAATAACCTGGCACTGCCTTAGAGTAGCTAAGCACTAATGCAAGTTCATAGTAAATGTTTGAACCACTATTTGTTAATATAAACAGTCACTCTGCTATTCATAAATTTGGATTTCATAAAAAGTAAAAAAATTATGGTTTAAGAACAGAAGATGATGTTCAAGTGGTTTCTCCATTGCCTACAATGCTGCCTGTTGTGAATTATTTAAGAGGGTATTTGAAGAAAACCTTCTTATTGGAAAAAACTGACTGACTTTTCATTTTCAAAGGGGATTAAGATGATTGACTGCCTCAACCAGAGGAAGAAGTAGATTATTTATTTCTTGCAATTCATGGAAGTATTAAAAACCAAAAGAGCCACAACTGTGGTTTTTAATGTCTTTCATGGCAGTGTGTGGCAGGCAGGAAGAAAAATGTGTTTACTATCTCCTTTGTGTGGTGTTCTCCCCTGACAAAAGGGAGCTAATTTCATTTCAAGGTCTCTGAACTCAGAGAGCCCCTCAAATCCACATATGAGAACAAGATAACAGGATATCAAGATTCTCAATAGAACATACACAGCAAATCCCTGTGCACATCATTTATCTACTACTGACCACATCTAGAGCACAAGGAGGGCAAATGCCAAGCAGAACAACTTCCTCTTTCCTCTCCTGGCTAAATTAAGTCCAAGCAGTCAACTGAACTTTAAATTAAGCTTTTGTTCAGTGTCTATTTAACAAGCAAGTGGAAAATGTGACAGGCATTGATACTGGTATTAAAAAGTGTAGGTTGGGGGGGGTGGGTTTGGATTATTCTTTTAAAACACACAAATATATTTTAGAGGGACAAAAAGATTAATTTCTATTATCAAATTAAGCTTTAACATTTCTTGTTTCTATAGGTTTATTTATAACAAACTTGAGTAGAAGTGCACTAAATGGTTCTTCTCAAAAGTATTCTGTGGCTTTTCAGTGATCAGAAAGGACTTGGTAGAAAAGAATAAGCCTTAGCCGTGAAAGGTGCTGAAATGCACATGGTGTTAGCACCAGCCCTCACACGAGACACTGTGGAGTCAGGAAGACTCTTCCTTTGGAGCTCAGTGAGATGCTGAAGCAAGGCCAGAATTCCCAGGCTGTCTTTTAGCAACCTAAAACTCCAAGTAGGAACCTGCTTTGCAGTGGAGCTGCTGTCAGAGCAGCCAGACAGTTCCAACACAAGTGTTTTATTCATTATACTCTGGAGTGAAAATGAAGGAGCAAAACCCCAGATGGAGTTGGCAGAACCAGGAGACACCATCCAGCTGCATTTTAGTGTATTGTTGGGATGACTCAACAGCTACTGCAAGAGGCTGCAGAGGTACTGTAGCTCTATGCCATGACATGAGACGAACTAGAAAGAGCCAAATAAACATTTTTTTCCTCAGAAATTCTGGAAAAGATACATAAAGTGCAATATAAAATGATGCAAAAGAAAAGGACTAGAGTGTGAAACGGCAGGAATAACAAAATCTCAAGAGAAATAGAATTAAACACTTAAAAGGCTAAAAAATTACAATTAATAATATAATTTGAAGTCATAATCATTAATTTTGTAAAAAAAATGTAATTAGTAGCTACAAATTACTGTTTCTTTAGTCTGTATTTAGTCAGATGACAGGACTCTGATAAAGCAAAAGACTTGTCACCACTCATTTTCAGAATTAAACAATTATATTCCTGAAAATGTACTAAAACCCTACTTAATTTGTAGATTAACACTACATTTCATTCCTTAAAGCTTCAGATTGAATAGATTCTCTTCCAGAGATCTGTCTAAGCATAAACTCAAGGCTTGTCAGGCATATTCAGAAGAGAGTTCTAGTATTGGAACTGACTGAGTTCACACAGGAGGGAGCACAAAGTGCAGGGATTCATACAGCAAGGTCAAGCAAGTTCTGCTTTCATGCCTGTTGCCTGCACCAGGCCATGGTGAGTTTTTCTAGGTTTAGAATGCCAATAACCACAGCAATCCCTGCACATCTTTTTGTCTTGTTTCCAAGTCCACTGGAGGGACTGGTCACCAACCAGATGGTTCATACAGGCTTTAGTTCATGCTCATGTATCTACCACAGGAACCACTGGATCGTCCCATTGAAAAGAACAGTTTAATCTCACACTTACCTTCCCTGTCAGAACAGAAGGAAATTCTGTATCAAACTTGTTGCTCAAGCCAAACCTTGAAAACAAAAAAAGAGACAAACAAAATATATTCCACCTAACTTATTTTGTTTCCCTTCATTAAAAAATAATCTTTTTACTTAAAAAAACTATTAATTTTTCACCCTTACATTTACATTATTTCATGAGCTTTCAATCTCATGTATCATTCATAAGGTCATTTACAAGACAGAAACACAGCTTGTTGCCTTACTTCAATACTTTTGAGTCCCAAAAAACCACAAAAATTCTTTTACAATTGGATGGCACTAAGTTTCAAACTTTGCTATCTTTAAGAAAAAAACTCCAGCTATTAAATTCCTGTTCAATAATCCTTTTATTGCTGTTTTTCTTACTCATGCAATTTGTTCCACATGCAACAGTTGAAGCTCATTCTTAGGAACCCATTCAGCAGCAGCAGCTTAGAAATTTATACCCATGCAGCTTTCCAAAACTGCTTTGGGCTGAGTTAAACTGTCTCACGCAAAACATGTAAGAGCCTATGCAAAGAACAGTTTCATAACTATGAACTTCAAGAAAACTGAGTCTTGAGTCTCACTGTGGCTAGTCTTCCCTGAACTGCTCTGGGTTTTGAGCAAGAGGTTTCCATTACAGCCAGTGAAAGCTCCAGGGAGCCTCACTTAGCTTGTAAACCTGTGTTACCAAAATTCCTGAGCCAATAGAAATTCCCGAAAGGCAGTGTGGTAGATCAGCAGGATACTGACAGTGCAGGCTGACTGGACTTTTTGATTTTATTTAAAGCATATAAGTAGGCAAGAATTTAACTAAGCTCTGATGCTAAACCTGTGAGCTGCTGCAGAACAGGACTCTGATCTCCCACCTGCTCTACCTTAACCTTAGCAATTCAGTGATTTAACACCCCACAGCAGCAGTTGGCCTCTTAGCTACAGCCTGTGCCTCTGAACAGAGCTTAACGTCGAGTTTGGAAGGTTAAATATACTGTACAGCCAAGTCCACTGTCAGCTCTGCTAAACTATCTCCTGAGTATTTGTGCTCAAGATAGGAAAAACCCTAAAGGACCAGAGGCAAAAAGAGGAGCACAAATACACTTGGTATTGCAGTATTGATTGTAGAAACAAGCCTGGAAACTACTTGCTTCGAGTCAAACTGACACCTGATGTACTCCTTGCTGGGCCCTTGCACCAATACCAGCATTGCTGAAGTGTTCTCAGTCCCCCCATTAGATCACACACACATACCCATGTGTACAATGTAATCAGCCAAAACTGACAATGTAACTTCTTTAGAAGTATGCAAAACCAGAAAAACAACCTTAAAGAAGAGAGAAGCGTAACTGAGGGACTTGTGCTGTCTTTAGAAATCCAGTAAACTAACTGAAATGTTTGGCAACAGCACCGGTGAAGTCCAATCCAGTTCTTCAAGGAATAATTCAAGTCAGAGCCTTGACTCTTGTAAGGCAGAGTGTGGAGCAGTAGTTGTAAGAAGCATTTAAAAAAACCCCAAACAGTAAAACCAGTAAGAATTTAGGCAAGCACAAAGGTTACTAATATGAGCACATTGCCATTCTCTGTGAAGGCAATCTCCAAGTCAGCCTCCACATTTTGTAGCTTTTCTTTGTAAGATGAAAATCATCCAAGTTCTGTAATACATATTTAGTTTTAAGGAAGCTTGACAAGCAACGAGTTAGTCTTTTCAGTCTCTAAAGACAATCCAGAAAAGACTAACAATATGAAGCACATACACAAGCTTGTTTTGAGGAATATGGACTTTGCTGTGTATCAGCAATGAAACTACCTGAAATGATCACAAAGTAGCAGCAATCAGACAACATAATAAATGAACTACTGCAGCATTCAAGCAATTCTCAGAATTATTTACCCATATGAGACTAATTCCATTAAATCATGCCAAAGGTCCACCTCACCCAGAACACTGACTCTTAGAGTGGTCAGTGGCAGATGCCTAGGAAACAGCGAAACAAAGACAAAGAAGAGCATACCTGGTCTAGCAGTTCCCCAGAATACTCCTCTGACCCTCAACAATTCCCAGTTCAAACACTTCCTAAGCCACACGTAGTGTCTTTCATCTCACTGCTCACATGTACTCATTAGAATTTGCTTTGCACCCCCAATTTCCATAAAAAATAAGATAAATTAGTGCTTTCTGATTTAGAACTCTGATCCAGAACGCAAGAGGACAATATATTTTATTATGTTAAATTTGAAGGCTGATGGCATGAAACATATTTAAACCCGAAAACTTTCCTCAGTTGCCAAAACCTTCCCTTCAGCTGTAGCACATCCAAGAAACCTGAGTTACAGAAATGCATCTCTCACACCAACACCTGCAAATGGCTAAAGAATGTAAAAGGGTTTAACTACACTGAAAGCGGGACTATGCCACATTAAAATCCTATGTTCAGTCAGCATCGCTGATGGCTGTGGCAGTTTTACTGAGGTGTCTCTAGAAGTTTTACAGACTATCCTGTGATTATTCACCACAGAGTTCAGAAGCATTAAACTCCTGTTATATGGTGGTGACTCAAGAACCTAATAAAACAACAAATGTAAAGCAGGACATCATATCCTTGTAGAGCTTTGCGAGCAATTTTGTCAAAGTACTGAAGTGTTATTAGAATCTTTACTGTAAAACGTTAAGACCTGAAGGTTTGATTAAGAGATAATTAACTTCATTAGATCTTCTAGAACAAACCAAAGATCTAGCATGATGTGGCCTGTGAAGTCTCCTACAATTCAATATATTTAAAAGTCACTATGTAACATCAACTCCAGTACATGTCCTTTAAGTCACTTAAAACACCTGGTGGTGGTGGCATATTTCTGGGCCAGTTCTCTGACGACTCAGTGACAGCTGCCCAAAGTCTAACATTTAGAAATTCAGATCAGTCACCCACATACTTTGCTTGCACTTTCCTCACTGCATCACAAGTATCTCTAAAGGCACTGCTTCCTATAGGCTGGAATAGAACTAGGATGTATGGATGGTCCTGTCTTTCTTTCCCTGTTTTCATGTATGGCATCAGGCAAGTCCCATCACCTCATTTTCCCCCATCTGTAAAGTGGGGAGAACACAGCAACTCACAGGGAGCTGTAATAAGATAAATTCATAAATCCCTCCAATTGAAGATTGAAAGGAACACCCTGAATCAGCAGCTGCAAATCCCACGTGCAACAGGTACCACAATATAAAGCTGTTCGTTTACAAAGCAGGGAGTCAAGTTTCCTGTCCCCAGAACTGAAACAGGAAGATTTTGGGAAACACTCTCATATCTAGATCAGACATATGCACAGGTGCTTTGCCTTTTTTTTTTTTTTACTTAAATAGTGCTTCATTCTCCTTTCTCCCACTACTGCATTTATAGATAATGATCAGTCTTACTGGACTACAGAACTAAACCTGTTTAGTCAACTCTCACACAATAAGCTCTCCAACCTCCTTCCAGCACAGCTCCTTTCCCCACACCTGATGCAGGTTAGGTTTAAGCTGTGTGGAACAGACAAGCTCAGATCCCACACACAGTTCTCTGTGAGGTACCAGCTAAGCTCCGTCTGGTATTACAGGATAGAGATGATATTCACCCAGAGCCCTGAGCTGAACTCTCCTTGAACGCTTAGCATTCCTCTTCCTAGTTTAGGACAGGTTCCATGAAGCCAACTCAAGAGTGTCCTTCCCCACTGATGATATTTTGGAAAAGGAAGTCCTTGATAACTAGTGAAAGACTGAGGTCATTTGCTTTTTAAATATGCAAAAGATGGAACAATATCAGATAATAACCAAATATCATCTTATCACAAGTGGCTCTTCCCTCCCTTCCCCAACTATGACAATAAGCTTTTCACTGGCACCTGGACTGTGGGTCCCTGGGGCACTCCTACAGAAAATAGAATGGAATACCAAAAGTTACTCTAGTCGTGAAAGACTGAGGTCATTTGCTTTTTAAATATGCAAAAGATGGAACAATATCAGATAATAACCAAATATCATCTTATCACAAGTGGCTCTTCCCTCCCTTCCCCAACTATGACAATAAGCTTTTCACTGGCACCTGGACTGTGGGTCCCTGGGGCACTCCTACAGAAAATAGAATGGAATACCAAAAGTTACTCTAGTCAAAACTAGGTTTCTTCAGCAGGTTTTTCACAAGCTGGATACTAAGGGCAAAAATGTGCTTAATGGCTATTTCATTACCTCATTACCATCCATTCATAAGGACTTAATGATATAGACAAGTTACATCAGATAAATAAAAACTTATAATGAAGTTACAGTTTGTTTACTGCTCTGTTTTTGAAAGTTAATGCCTTTGCTTTACTAGGCATATGACTCAGTCTTCAATAAAAATGTCTGTGTAGAGATATTTAGATTCACTAAACCAAAGTCAAACAGACTGCAAGAAACAGCAAACTGCAGGATTATAACTCATCAAAATGGAATTTCAGAAGAAAAGGCACTTACTAATCATAGTAACTTCCCTGTGCTAAAATTCAAAAGGTTTATGAAAATAATAAATGTGACTGAGCTGATTTTTTTAAAGTAAGAATCTTGAATAAGATACGAGCATAAATTTTGCTAACCATTTTCAGATTGTCTCTCTCCCTGAGTAAAATAAAACAAACACACTTCACATGGTCACTCTTACCATGCACAGGGGTAGAAGAGTTAGCAAAAATCAGTGGAAAAAACCTAGATCCTGATAAATATCCTCAGAAGATTCTTGGAATTTGTATTTAGTACTGTTGGATACTGCAGAGCAACTCTGTTAGGGTCAACAGCTCACTGCAAGGTCGTAGAATAAAAACTCCCAAGCAAGAAACAAACACATAGTTTCAGTCTACCAACTTGGGAGTTTTATAAGAGAACTGTACACGAAAAGCTGAAGCAGATGATGACCCTGGAATTTAAGAAGTTTCCCTTCTCTATACACCAAAAGTATCCAAAGGGCCAGTGTCAGCTGAGGAACAGGAGGCATCTGAAACAAGAATCCAGAGAGAACAATGGCTTTATAAAAACTAGCTT